TTTGGCAAATCATTTTAGTGGTTTGGCGTGTGGGAACAAAGGGAATTCCATATTGAAAAGCCCTTGGGAGCAATGAGTCACCATGGGACAGTTATGAATACAAGAATTGTTAGAGAGCACAGGACATCCCCCAGAAAAGGACGTGGGAGGCAGAGAGTTGGAAATACCCAAAAAGAGGATGTTTCCTGGTGCTGCAGGGTGTTGTAAGCTCAGCTGCTGCCATTTTAGAAACCCTATTACCCACCAGGAGCAGTGACCAGTGACAGAACAGTGAAGGAAGAGGGGTCTGCCCAGAGGTGGCCAAGCTGCTCCTCCTGTTGCCCAGAGAAGCTGTGGCTGCCCCTGGATCCCTGGAAATGTTCCAGGCCAGTTTGGACAGGGCTTGGAGCCACCTGGGATGGTGGAAAGTGTCCCTGAGTGTCACTATGATATTTTATGAAAAATCCCTTTCACCAGGATTTCTTCTTCTGGCAAGATGAGAACCCTCAGCTTCTCCATGGTTTGCTCCTCTGGAATGTGATTTGGAGAATTGTTAACCCAGCATGTGAATTGTTTTAACTTAATGACCAATCCCAGTCCAGCTGTGTCAGGACTCTGGTCAGCCACGAGTTTTTGCTATCATTTCTTTTCTAGCCTTCCGATGTTTCCTTTCTCTTTCTTTAGTATAGTTTTAGTATATAATATTCTTTTACTATAATATATATCATAAAATAATAAATCAGCCTTCTGAGAATTTGGAGTCAATTCTCATCTCTCACCTCATCCTGGCAACCTTCACAACACCACAACAGCTGGATGTCTTCAGCCTGACACCAGACATGTTCACCAGTTTTGGTTTTTTCAACAAAACAAGGAGTTCCATATTGTCAGTGGTGTTTTTTGTCCCAGAGCCACCTTCAATTAACATTAGTGATTAATCATCCTCACCATTGGTGCATCCCAAGGGACATCCCTGCTCTTTAATTATTCCCATGCTTACAGAAGGATAAACAGAGCCCTCACTCTGAAAAATGCCATGAAAGCCATAAGGGAAAGTGCTGGGAATTGTGGGAATAGGTTCTGATCCTGTGCAGCCTCCAGTCTCCACCTCAAATCCTACATTATTATCAATAAAAATCACATTTCACTCCATGTAGTGCATAAGGAGTGACAAATGGATGGCAGTGGTCACAGTCAGAGCCATGTGTGCCCTCTGCCTCCTCCTCAGAGGGACAAAGAGGTGCTCAGGGTGTGTCATTTTGGAAAAATCCCTTCACCAGGATTTCTTCTCCTGGGAAGCTCAGAGGCCTCAGGGAAAAATGAAAACAATAATTATCTGATCTGCTTATCCTGTGTTTTGCTGCTTTGGAATGTGGTTTGGACATTGTTTGCCAACTGGTCATTGTTTTATTGGTTTCATGTGAATTGTTTTAACTTAATGACCAATCACAGTCAGGCTGTGTTGGACTCTGAGGAGTGAGCAATGAGTTTTTAATTATTATATTTTAGCCTTCTGCCTGTATCCTTTCTCTATTCTTTAGTATAGTTTTAGTATAGCATCATATCATATATATTATATTGTATTATATTGTATTATATTGTATTATATATTAATATATAACTATTATATATCAATATAATATAATACTATATAATATCCTTCTAAGAACATGGAGTCAGATTCATTTCTTCCTGCCATGGGGGAACCCAGAAAATACCTCAGGGGTGCTAAGGGGAGCAGGAGAAGACAAACCTGGGGTTTTTATTGTGTTTTACCCCTGTGAAGAAATCCAGGCTGGGAAAGAAGAAAATGGGAAACCTCAGTCCCCTACAAGGACAGCTGCTTTGTCTTCAGATCCCCCAGGTGACATCTACGGAGAAAGAGCTGGGTGACAGGTGTGGGATCATCCCCTTGAATCACAAAATCATGGAATATTTGGGGTTGGAAGGCCCATCCCATGAGCAGGATGGGATGGGTGGATCAGTTCCAACAGGAGGATGAGTAAAGGTTGGATTTCCCCAGCAGCACTTACCTGTGACCAGGGATTGCTGCTTTTCTCACCTTCCTTCTCTGGGGTGGAGCCACAGAAATGTGCTTGGAGCCCTCCCCACCCTCCACCTCCACCAGCTCTTGCTGCCAAATTTGCACAAACATCATCATCCTCAACTCCCCCAGCTCCCTGCTCCAGCTGGGATTGGGCAGACAGGGAAACACAAAGTGGGTACACAAAGCCCTTAATCTCTGCAGAACCAAGCCAAAATTACTTTGATGTATTGGCTTTTAAACTGCTGCCTTCAGTGCTCAGAGGGGCTTTTCTTCTTATCTCCTCAGCAAAACGTGCGAGCAGCTCCTGACCATCTCTTTTCTCTGCTTGAGTACTCATATCCTCCTATTTTTTTCCCCCTGAATCCTCTTACAGATGTTTTCCCAGGTCTCTAAGCATTTCCATATCCTGTTTATTTGCTGCTAAAGGTGTAGTGATGCAAACAAAATCTGTCTCTGGAAAGAAGGGAGGGACAATAAGAAATGAGCTGTAATTTCAGGACAAGAAGTGAGCTTTGCCAGCTACAGACTGAAGCATAAATGTTGAGGTCCTTCAGCATGGAATTGTTTCATTTTGAGGTTCTAAACCCAAAAGAGAAGGTGTGGCTGCCCCTGGATCCCTGGGAGTGTTCCAGGCCAGGTTGGACAGGGCTTGGATCAACCTGGGATAGTGGAAGGTGTCCCTGCCCATGGCAGGGGGATGGAATCAGGTGATCTTTAAGGTCCCTTCCAACCCAAACCATTCTGAGAGTCTACAAATACAGAATACTATAACATAATGAACATTTACATCAGTGCTGGAAAGCTAAAAAAAATAATGTGTCCCTTTGAACAGCTGGATTTTGATTTTAAGTGACTCCAAAATATTCCTGTCAAGTCCACAATCAGAACACTCCCTGAAAACCCAAATACCCTCAGAAAAAAACACAGCATCAAGATGTTTTCATCAGACCTAATTGCAGCCTGGAAAGTTAAACAGACGTGTCCTTTCTCACCCTAATTATTGAACAGTGGAAGAAGTAACAGAGATGAATTCACTTTACTGAGTTTTATGATGTTTTAAATAAGGAGGGAAAGGTTTTCCCTGCTTATTTCTCTGCTGGTCTGAACTTGCAGAAGTGATGCTCCACATAGGAAAGCGAGCCTCTTTCATGCTCTCATGCTCTCCCTCCCCTTTCAAGCAGGGAAATTGAGGCACCAAGCACAAAGTTATCCCCAAATCCATTGAACAGATAAAGAGCAGGATGAATCAAAGCCCAGAGCAGCAGTGCCCTGACTTCATTTAGCACAGACCATGATCAATTTGCAAATGCTTCTGATGGAAAAGACCTACTGGGTCATTTTGCAGGCCCCTGTAAGCCCAGGCTTTTTCCCTGCCATGTGCTGGAGACAAAAGTGCTTTATACAACCCCTACATTAAAATAATTTAGGCAGGAGGACTTCTCTCATTTCCTCTGGGGGAAACAATTCCGCAGCTGAAGAGATTGCAACATTAGGAAATATTTCCTGACGTCCATGGCTTCCAGAATCTGTTGATATATTATTAATAGAAAGGAAAATAAATATAGGTATTAATGCCAGCAGACACTGTCTGCTACTAATAGCTGTTAAAGTAATATATTCCCCTTGTTTTTAGCTCTTATTAGTCTTTTTGCAAAGGGTTACAAGACCCTTATGCATCCATTAGCCAGTCAGCCATGTGAAATTAATGTGGAGCAATTTTCATAAGCATTACTCAGAACTAATAATAATTAAGCATTATTTTCTGCTCAGATAACACAGAAAATAAAGCCTGACTTTTATGCCAAGATGGGTTTGCATTAGCTTAAGGTAAATGAATTAATTCTCATTTACAAGTCTTTTCTGCCAGCTAGCCAGAAAATATCAAGGTAATTAAAACCAATTTGTGAGGTTCTGTCCCATTGCACATTCACTGGGTTTTATCATTGCTGCAAATTGCAGGTGCTTTTATGCAAAGGTGGGACATGAAGGGGACTTTGCTGCCTCTCTCCTTCCCCATCACTTCCAAGAAAAGCTGAAACCTCCTTGTGAGCAGCAGAACATGTTGGAAATGCTGGAGATCAATAAAGGAAGGATGGAAGGATGTGAAGGATCAGCTCAGGCTGGGATGTGGAGCGGGGATGTGAAGCTTTCAGCAATTCAGAAAAAAATCCACTTCTAATAGAGTGGGGGAAAAAATATCTTTCCTTTTGCTTTGCCATTGACTTGCAAGGGATTAATTCTGATTATTTATATGACTGAAGGGTTTTTGTAGGCAGCATTTTCTGGACAGCTCCCAAAGATTTCTCTCATCACAAAATCCTAAAATTATTTGGGTTGGAATGAACCTTAAATCTCATCCCAACCTGAGCCATGGGATGGGATTTAAGGTTCCACTATCCCAGGTTGCTCCAAGCCCCATCCAAACTGGCTTTGGCCATTTCCAAGGATCTAGGGACAGCCACAGCTTCTCTGGGCAACCTCTTCCAGTGCCTCAGTGGTTCTGTCCCAGAAGTTTGACAGCACCTGAGCAGGGGCTGAGCTCTCTGTGGGTGCTCTTAGTAAAAATAAAATCAGTTAAAATCAGACTAAAATAAATTAGTCCAGCTAATCTGTAAGATTCAAAAGCCCAGAGCTATCCTACAGCAACTAATGATAATGAGTGAGTGGATCTCTTCCTTTGGGTTTCAACTTTCCAAGAAGATCAGCACCTTCAGATGCCACATCTGAGCTTAGCAAACAACTGAGTCCAGTGTGACCCAGCAGTGTGGAATATCTGTGTTTTCCAGAGGATTATGGCCCTTCTTGCCAAAATCCTGCCTCTTTCATTTCATTTCTCCACCCTCTGCCTCCCTCCCTGTCTCATTGTGACACCTCCTGTTGGTCCCTGTGTCCATGTCAGTGACATGGAGCAGGTTGGTCTGAGGAAAAAAAGAATGAAGTGGGAGTTCTGACTTTTATTTTCAAAAACCTTCTCTCAGGGTAATTTAATTGCTATTAAAAAGATGAATAAAAGGAGAAAATACCCCAGAAATACCACCTGTGTTCCAGCCCTGGAACGAACAACCCTGACATGTGTTCCACTGTCCACACCCTCAGTGAAGAAAGGTTTTCCCCTTATGGCTGTTTCCTTCTCAATCCACTCCTGGTAGCTGAAAACAGGTGTCAAAATCCTGTGGTTTGGGTTTCCTCCACTGATGATGCCAACCTGGAACCACTTCATGGTGTCCCAGTAGCTGCAGATCACAGGTCCCCCGCTGTCCACCTGTGGCAGAAGCAGGAATGTTACAGCTGGATCCAACCTCAGGTCCCTCAGAGCAGCCTGAGTGGGAAAATCAATCTCTGTCCCAGGATTGTGAGGATTTGGGGAGGGAAAAAAAGGGAATTTGGATTCGAAATTTCACAGATCCTGCAGAATAAATAGATACAGGAGGCAAGAGGAGGAGATCAGTCCCAAGTTCTGGCTCAGTGCACTGAGTCCCTGTCATTCCCAGCCTTTTCCACATGCTCCTGTGGCCCCAGGAGGACACCTGAGAGCTGTCAGCAAGAGACACCATCCCAGAGAGAAAAGGAACATTTGCTGTGACTGCTCCCTCAGTCCTTGTCTCCTCTGCAAAGCTGCTGCTGGAGGTGCTGGGTACCTGCCACTGTGAATTCTGGGGCTGACAGCCAGAAACTGGGCAGCAGATGAACAATAATCCTGACAAATCCTTCTTGAAGACACAGTCACTTCTCTGAAAATTTTCCTGCTGCTGCAAGGACCACTCACTCAGTGTGGGCAAGGCTTCAAATTCAGGTTGCAGCCACCTCAAAAATTCTCCTGGTGGCTTGTCTTGGTTTGGAAAGACAGGAGTCTGCTAAGGAAGGCAGGAGCCTCCCCTGAAATGGAGAATGTAAACACTCCCCACCCCTCCGAATTGCTATAAATTTTAAATTAAGGGGCTCTCAGGCAAAAATATGGGAGCAGGAAATAACACTTCTTTAATAGGGAAAAGGGAAAAAAATAAAGCATAAAATAAACAGTGCAGTACACTAGAACAACACTGACAGAGTCAGAACCCAACCTGACACCCTGTGGGGTGTTGGTGGTAGTCCAATTGGAAATGTGGCTGCAGCCCTCCTGAAGTGTCAGGTGTGGATCTGTTGAAGCAAGGGGGATCTGTAGAGAAGGAGAGAAGGATGTATTCTTCCTCTGAAGATTCAGTGGAAGAAGAGGCAGCTGCTGTTCCTCTGGGGAATCCAGTGGAGAAAGCCGTGCTGGTGTCTCAAAACCCTCTGGATTATATCTGGGTAGGAATGCTTAGCTCCTCCCTCTGGACAGAGCATCTCCCAATGGGATGCTGTAGTTCTTATCAGTCATGCAGTGACATTCAATAGCCTGTTATCAGCAGATCTCCCCTCCCGAGGGAGGTGTGATTGTGGTCACTCAAAGAGGGAGATAAGGCAAACTGCCCACTTGACAAAGGTAATCTGCCTTACAGATGGTAATTGAAAACAACTTGCATTGCAATCTTCATCATGGCTGCTGTAGCTGGAGCACCCAGAGCAGATCCAGCTCTGGAATCTCTGGACAAAACCCAGAGGAAGAAAGAGAAAGCAGCAAAAAATCCCCCCAAGGCAGGTGCAACACTTTTCTGAGGAAAAGCTGTGTGAGACCTGGGGGTGCTCATCTGGAGAAGAGAGGGATCCAGGGAGAGCTCAGAGCCCCTTCCAGGGCCTAAAGGGGCTCCAGGAGAGCTGGAGAGGGACTGGGGACAAGGGATGGATGGACAGGACACAGGGAATGGCTTCCCACTGCCAGAGGGCAGGGATGGATGGGATATTGGGAAGAAATTCTCAGCTGTGAAGGTGGGGAGGCTCTGGCACAGGATGCCCAGAGAAGCTGTGGCTGCCCCTGGATCCCTGGAAGTTCCCAGCTGGACAGGTCTTGGTGCTTGGATAGTGGGAGGTACTAGAGGATTTTTAATATCTTTCCAAGCCAAACCAGTCTGGGACTCCAGGACATCTTCAGTGCTGTGCGGTCCCCGCTACAAAGAAATTTCCTTCCCCAGCGGGCTTGAATCTTTTTAGCATCTTTTCTAACCAGTACTTGTGGTAAACAAATTCAATACAAATCCATTTCCCAAGACAGCAAACTTTACTAGGAAATGTTGTCCTTCCCTGTTTGCATACTACTTTGGGAAACATCTTTGTCATTAATGGATGGAAACCCTTCTGCCAGCAGCTACCCTGAGCTAACACACATTAATTAACGAGCAAGGAAGGGGCTGAAGTTCCCTTTGCAGCTCATCAGCACTCGCTGAAGTTTATGGCTGAATTCCCACTCCAGTAGCTGGAGGGCTCTGGTCATTAATATTCTTATCTTTTCTTTTTTACTTTTTTTTTCTAGTTCAGTATTCATTCAGGAGTTAAAAATTAAGATAAATGCAGAGGAAATGTTTGTAGAATCACAGAATATCCTGAGCTGGAAGGGACTAACAAAGACCAGAGATTTAGGATGGAAAAGACCTTTCAGATTATTGAGTTCAAACATAAAACCGACATTGTTAGTTGTTATTTTAGCCACACCCTTTCATCTCAAGCAATACTGCTGGACCCTCTTCAGACTCAGCATCTAAAAGAGGTTTCCCGACCCAATTTCAGCCAAGAATTCCTGTGAAAACCACAGAAGTGACCTTGGAGCTGCAGTGGCATCCCGTTGGGATGAATGAGCATCCACACACGATTCAGTTCCCGGGGATTTCACCGTGGATCCCCCTGGGACAGGAATGGGCTAAGGCATTATACTGATTATCCTGGAGGCGAGAGGAAGGCGCTGGGAGCCTCCAACACCGGGATAACCAGCGGAGTCTGGAGAGCGTGAGCTCAGGATGCTCCGCTGCAGCTTTTGCCAGCAGCAAAATAAAAAAATAATATAAAAGAAAAAAGAAAAAAAAGGGAAAAAAGAAAAAAAGAAAAAAAATAAAAAAGAAAAAAAGAAAAAAGAAGAAAAAGGGAAAAAAGAAAAAAAACAAAAAAGAAAAAAGGAGAAAAGGGAAAAGAGAAAAAAAAAGAAAAAAAAAAAGAAAAAACAAAAAAAGAAAAGAAAAAACAAAAAAAAAAAAGAGAGATTTTCAGCACCAGCCGAGCCCCTGCACAGATCAGTTTTAGCTCCAATTTGGAGGCTGTTCACACTTGTAAAGGATCTTCCATCTCTGAGCAGCAGAGAATTCCTGATGCCCTGTCTCTGTCCCCACGGGAATTGTCGCATCGTGGTCAGGGCAGGGATGCGGACTGGAGGCAGAGCCAGAGATCCCCATTTAAACCCTGCTTCCCTCTCAAACCAGATCTGCTCTTCCCTTCTTGTCCTCTTTAACCACGTCCATTTGGTTCCCTGTCCGGTTGGTGGGGAATGGGGATGTTTGGGGGATCAGTGATTTAAAACTTGCAGGCAGCAGCTGCAAATCCATTTCCCTAATCCACAAGCCCTGGCACCCAAATCCTGATCTCTTTCCACATGGGCTGAGCTGCTCTGCTTCCTGGGTGCTACTTCTCACATGCCATTTCTTTAAGCTTCAACTATTTAACATGAGGATTTTATCACAAAATGGGCCAAATCATCCTCTCCGTGTGATAATCTCACATCATTACAGCAGCAGCCTGCATGAATCAGGAGTCTGTGTTTTATAGAACTAAAGATGGAGAGGATAAACTCAGTCCTTGGACATTTCTGAATATCCCTGTATCCACCTTAAGCCTTCAGGAATGCCGGCCCAAGGTTTTCCATCCTTGTGTAGGAGAGGGTGTGGGAGGAGCGAGTTTTTGAGTGCTGGGACAATTATCTCAGCTCTGTGATGCTTCCAGTAATGCTAATTTAATGAACGCTCAGGTTAATGACTCTGAGGATCGAAGAATTATTAAAGGCTGCTTTTTCAGGCTCCTGCATCCTGGTGCTGAAACAATCCTGGTCAGCAACACACACCAGATACCTGCTCCTGCTTTTCCCTCTAAGTGCCAAGTTTCTGGATTGGAATAACCAAACTAAAAATAGCAGCTTTGCTTCTGTTTCATGTTTCTTGTCATCTCGAAGATGAGTGAAAAGCAAACGCAACAAATCAGATCTGGTGCTGAATTCCTGCCTTAAACATGTTAATCCTTCCATTAGGAGAGGTGAAAGCAATGATACATTCACTGATAAATAGCTGTGGGTTGCATAAAATCTGTCACTGCCTAACAAGGTGCTTTGTTCACTGAAGCTGACCAAAAATTTCATCTTTTTCACTGCGGCCAAAACCTCTTTTTTTTTTTTTTTTTTTGTGAGCATCAGGAGCCTTTCTGCTGCCTTTACTGGGCTTTGGATCAAAAGTGTAATCTCTCTTTTACATTTGTATTCGTGTCTGCAGCACAGTCATTGATCAGAACAAACATGTTCAGCCACATAAATCTTCCGAGGTGGGAGAAGCTCTGGGGGTGGGAGAACAACTCATCCGATCCTCATTAGGTGGATGCACAATCCCTGCAAGTCATTGCTGCTTTCATTTTCATGTTGGTGAGCTCTGTGCAAATTGGAGACAATCAGCAAGGGAATAACAACACTGGGAATAACAGCAGTGCTCATCAGAGCTGCTAGAGGCAGAATATCATTTGCCCAGTTGTTTCCAGCTGTTTTTAGAGTGGGAGTAAGGAGGTTGTGGCCACATTAATGTGCAGGTACCAGAAAGGCACCAGGTAATACAGGGCAGCTGGACTGCTCTCACACAAACTCTTTGAGAACCTTCAGCTCCTCTGTCCCTCCATCCCCTGGCTGCAAAATGGGAGAAGATGACCCAAATTCACCCAGTGTGATGTCAGCAGGGCCATTAGTGACTCCAGTGGCATAGACAGAGCAGATGCCTCTGGCCAAAGCCCTGTGGCCCAGACTCCTGTCTCTGGCTGTCAAGTGCTCAGGCGAGGAGGAGGAGGAGGAACAGGACCAGTATTTACAGAGTTGTATTTACATCCCAGTGGTTAATGGCCTCAGAGAGATCTTCATCCAGGAAATTGCCTAATTGCTTTTTGAATCCATTTATCCCTTAAGGATAAATACCCACAACATCCTGGTCAGCGACTCCCGTAGTTTAATTATCTGATGGAAGACAAAACACTTCCTTCTCTTTGTTTTTAGGCCTGCTGCCTGATAAGGCCATCTGACACCCTTTCTTCATGTGCTTGGAGCAGCAGTGACATGAGGACAGGTCTTGACTCCTCTCCATGGTGCCCATGAGGCTGGGAATGTGTCACATCCCC